GGGAGAAACCGCAAGGAAGCTGATTTTCAGATCTTTAGATGCTGTGTAAACACAGACTCAAATCTTGTGAAGTAGACGGGCTCAGGAAGGTCGGTGCTCAAAGACTGAATGTGAACCTTTTTATCTAGAGGACAACAGAATGATTTTTAGAATTCAATTATGTTTTTTTTTCTTTTTGCTGTCAGGACAGTGAAGTATGTTTCAACATTGTTCTCTGTGACGGGGGCCAAATTTGTCCTGGCCCCTAAAGCACACAAAGTAATTTTCTGGAGACATAGGCCCATTTTCTTAGGTAACACAACAATGAAATGAAGCTCATTTGGGAGAAAAATGTCAAACAAAGTCAACAACATCAGCTCTTAACTAAATAGCTCTGGACCAGGCATTGATGACACTGAGTCTGCTTGGCTCTATGCTCTCCTACTGAGGCTTTTGGATAGAGCTGCTTGTACAAATAACATGTCGCTTCTTAAATTGAGCTGTTTTCTTAAAAGCTCTCCACAGGCAGCTTGATATAAAGGATAAAAAGCGATAGAAACTATTTTTTTTCTTCGTCATCTTCTCGGTCTTCAGAAGGATTTTGACCTTATTTTGAAAAGCAGTTCCTGTCTTTTTATGGATATACTCAGAAAACACAAATTCCGTCCCATTTTTGGATGTCAAATGTATGAAAAGGGTACGGTAATGCTTCACAAAACGAAACCGTTGGGCTCAATAATACATCAGGATGTATTGAAGGTACTGAGCGGCATTTTCAGATTCTAATTATGGCACTGGCCATCCCATATAATTGTATTTGACACTGAATACGAACTTCACAATGTGCAGGCCTCATGTCAATCTCACTGCAGGCTATAATCAGGAGGTGAATCTGATGACTCAACCCAGCCTGTATTCATTTGTTCAGTGCCATAGCACAAAATCACCACCCACCATCCTGTAATAGAATAAAGCTTTTTGTCTACATGTGTCACTGTAGACATAGTAAAGACAGGGAGACATCTGATAAATGATTCTATTGATGACATTTGACAGATTAATTGTCTTTTTTCTGAACAATATATATAGTGTTTTGTGATGCAGATCATCATGTTAATCTACTGTGCACTTAGAGGGAAAGTAAAGATTGTTGAATACCTGCGCTAATGAATAAATGGAAACCTTCCCGTAATTATTGGTTGTGTATATACTGAATGTAATATTGTTAGGAAAAGCAGCATTTCAGCACTTCCTTGTTTTGCAGAAAAATGGCTCATGTGACTGACTGAGATTGGTAATTTGGGGACATCAGTACATCATTTTACTGTTGAGGTGGAGCTAGTTTTAATAGTTAGGTATCTTATTTACCAGGGATTAGGGCCCACCCAAAGGGTCACAAAATAAACAGTTTGTGAGATCTGAGACCATCTGAGAAGTTAAAAGGGGAATATCGTTCTCTGATGGAACTGCTAACAACTCAAAACATGACAAGGGTCCCCATCTAGACATTATATATTTATATATATATTATATATTTACAAGGGGCCACAACCCCAAAAGGTTGGGAACTACCTCAAAACTGTACTCAAGTGCAGTACTTGAAAAAATGCTCTTTCTTTTTACTTTCCACTGCTGCAGATGAATGCCTAGACAGATGGACCTTGAGTGGCATAATGGCCGTCTGAGCCTCCCTTTCACTTTCTTGCCAAGCCAGCCTCTGTTTGATTACACTGGCCAGTGAATGGAAGGACAGACGGAAGGAAAGATTGAAAGAAGGAAGAACGGATGGAGGGCAGGTCGTGGGAACAGACACTAGTGCCCAGGGGACACACAAACACACAGACTCACATACACAAATGTTCTCTGTAATCCAGCATGGAATATCTCTTCTATTTATGACTGTTCTATATTTGCAGTTCCCGACCCCTTTGTGCAAGTGCAAGTGTGTGTGACTTTAAAACTCAGTTGGTCTCTGGGAATCTCTGTACAGACAAACACACTCAAATGTATCCCATGTGGGGAACCAACAATCTGCTGGTCAGTCAAAGGGGAATCCCCTCCTGACAGAGGGAGCTACTTTATTCACTTGTACAAGTCAGGTTTTAGACATTCATTAATTTATTGACAACTAGATTCACACACTTAATATACTATGACGCTTTCTCTTAGGATCAATTCTACACTAAAATGAAGACAGTGCTGAAGAAATATTTAAATGTTGCTTTTAATAAGTTAATTCCTGGTAATTTTTCAGCATTTGCATTCAATAATGTACCTTGTCCCTCTTCCCTCCAAAAATAATAAGAGATAAAAATAAAGATTAAAGAGATAAAATGAAATGCAATATGAATTTTAACATTTTGAAACATTATTTACCAAAGTAGTAACAATGATAAAGTTGTTTCAGCTTTTCACCAGCTAAGAAAGAAAATAAATCTGTTATGTATCTAATTATGCATTTTCCCCTGGTTTATGTCAGTTATGTAAAATATCAAGTAAAATATCTACAACTACAGCCACAAATGCTACTTGTTGAAGAGAGTCCAGGTTGCAACACCCCCCATAGTGGGAATGCAATGGATACAATCACTTAAAACCTTATACCTCTTGAGAATATCAGTTGTAGCAATGGCTTTTAATAAGGTCGATGTGTTCCAGTCTGCATAGATACCATTAGGGCTGCTCATTGACCATGAGCAAAACATTGTGGCCAGGCCTCCCTGATGTAAATATGTCTCTATGTGTAAGTATATAAGAGTAGGCTACTTTCTCATAGTGACTTAAATGTAGTGCCAAATGAGTACCATAATATAGAATGTAATATCTCCACCTGGAGCCACAATGGACCCATATTGAACACTCCAGGCAGGCCATCTATTACCCATTCACTGTGGCCCTTTGCCTACAGCCCCATGCCTATCCACATGGATAACTGAAATCGTTCAGTGTATGCCCTATGTAAATTATAGATCTGTTCCTAAACAGTTATACAGTCTCTTGCTTGTTTGCGCACACAGAATAAGCACATATTGTTTGGTTTCAACGGACCTCACTTGATACAGGAAAATGACTTTCCTTAAAGACATTTATTTAAAATAAGTATAAACAAGCTGCCTACTGGCTCTGTCCCGTTATCCTTCTGGCCTGTGAGCCAATCACCAGCATCCCTAAGCCTATCCCCACCAATCAGAGTCAAGTACTCAATCTTGACTGAATGGTATTGGCAGTATTGACCTGTTGATGGACAACTCATTAGCCTCATCATTGACAAACACACACACCACTTACACACAGATAGATACCACCCTAACAAATACACATATATACCTTGAAACACACACACACATACACATACAGTACACTACCTATGTACCTAGGAGACAAATAGGACCATGCTGAATCACAACGCAGCTATTTTCATGTTAATAGAGTGGCAGACGTGTCATAGTCTGACCTGGAAGTGCTTCATTCACATTTAAGAGGAGAAGTTGTTTGAAGTGCTTAAAGCAGATGTTTTTTAACCAGTGCTGCTTAAACTGAGTGAGCAGTTGGATGGTCATTGTTTTTCTCAAGGACACTCTGACATGACTGTTGATGGATGCACAACAGCTGTCTCTGTCACAGTATAAATCTAATTACTGAAACAACTATGACTGTACACTGTAGAGGATAGCAGGAGTGCATATTTCATACATGATGCTAAATAGTGGTAATTTAGTGATTAAAGAGCATTCATGTATGAAGTCTTCATTGGTGGTTGTAAGAGATTATAAAAGAGGTAATCTACTATCAAACGCATACAGAATAAAGGGATTTATGTATGTTCAATTGAAGAGGTGGCAACGTCTCCTCAAGTACCCTTGTAACCGAACAGGATGTGTTGTGAATATGGAGATTCACTGTCAGGTGATGCAACTGATATTGTGTGATATGGGTATGGCTGATATGGATTTCAAGAACGTACAGTCCTGAAAGTCCTGTTCCTGTATCAGTTACTGCTCTGTCCTTGAGTATTAATTTCAGGAAGGATATGTCGTATTTCTGAACCATAGAGCTGGTGCATTATATACTGTGACTAAAGTACTGCATCCAAAATTAGGAAGAAGAGGAATATGTTTCTTTACATAAAATATAGGAACAGAACGATTGGTGAAGGTGAAAGTGAAATATGTATCAACCAGAACTATAACTACTATCAAAAGTGCCTTCATTTCTTCCGAAGAGGATGCTTGCTTGTGTGTGCAGTCCTTCGTCACCCATTTACAAATATCTGGAAAACCACCTGCAGGCACATAGTTCAAATAAAATCATGCAGTTTATTAATTTTACAAATGCAGGATTACAGGAGCGTTACCACAGAAATAAAAGCTATAGATATGTGCTGAACTGTGCCTAAAGTGTAAAATTCAGTGATTCCTCTTTGCAGTGGAATGGACCTCTGTGAAAAGGAATTTTCTTTTTTATTGGGGGTTTGTGTAACACGGTGTATCTGCTCTTTCACACACACACACACACACACATACATACACGCACGCATTCTAGTTTGAGCTTTAAGATCAGCTCCAGCCTATGCAGTAAGGGATGGTTGCGTTTTATCCATCCCTTTGATGCCCCCTAGTGCATTTTATGGGAAATGTAACTGAGACTTTGGAGACATCAGTCAGCATCGGAGTCTGTGTTGCCCAACAGTCAGATGTAATGTACACAGAGATGAAAGACGAGAGAGGCACATCAGCTGTTCACTTGTACAGAGAGAAGTAAACAGAGACATCAAGTTACAACAAAATCAAACAGGACAGGATATCAGGATATCTTTCCTTACAATCACAAAGTGTTCAGAAACATGAGGATTGTAACCAAGATGCAAGAATTGATTTAATATAAAAAATAAAAAGCTACATACCGAATTGTGCACGGTCTCCTGATATTATCGTTAACTGAAGAAAGTAAGTTACCGTAATACTGAAAATCCCATCCATCGATTTTTCCAAGTTGATTGATAAGGCTAAAATCCTGCTAGAAGCCTGCTGCGCAACTACTCACGTCTGGTTGTTTACAATCTCTCTGCCTAAACATGGCCGTTGACAAACTCAGTCATGGCAGTTAGAACTCAATAACTCTTGATTTTTTTTAATTTACAAGTCTTAATTTGCCACACAAGCTACTGTGCAAATATACTTTTAACCGACGTTTTTACCGCGTTGCTGCTTTGGCTCTCATCTCATCTTTCTGTGACTCGTTAGCCGCCGAAGCTAGGTTGCGAGCTAACTTCTCCATAGGGGACAATGACAGCGACTTCTGCAGGTAGCAGCAGCTTCCTCCCCGCTAAAGGACTGGACATAAGTCTGGCCGCCCTGCAGCGACAAGACCCATACATCAATAACATCGTGGACGTGGCCAGCCAAGTGGCCCTGTATACTTACAACAACAGGGCAAATGAGTGGGTAAGCCTGAACTTTGGTTAAGGATCCCATGTGCTAACTTAGCCTAGCTTCGTCCTCCTCCCTGATAGGCGCGCTTTGTGACTGAAAAGATTTACCCCAACTAAAGTTAACACTATTGTTAACCCAGCTCTGTTGATTTAGGCTTGAAAATGGTTATTTTCCTCAACAATAAAATGTGTTTTATTCTCTATTATCTTATTTCCTGGGAAATGGTACCACTAGACAGCACTTGCAGATAAATATTTCCCCTTTAGCAACAACCAGTTTTCAGCACTTTGTTCTGGCTGTGTTTATCAGAAGACTAAAAGCTTGATCTAATTCACACATATATTTCTTTTTTTTTGTTTAAAAACAAAAATATATATTTTACCTTACTTGTTCCAGTCATAAGTCAAATCTTTAGGCAGATACATAAGACACTGACCAGAGTACAGAGTGACACGAATGATGAATCCTTTCAGACATTTGTTAGCTTTTTTTGTGTGTTTTTCAGGAAAAGACAGAGGTGGAAGGCACCCTCTTTATCTACACAAGGTAATGAAACTGATGTTCGACTTTACCTAAAGTATAGTTCTGAGTTGTTGAGACTGACATATTGAGACTACAGGCGTACTTGACAGTCAACATGCAGTAAATTGGGACCAATTGGTGGTTTCCCTTCAGTATAGACTGATTTTAGTTGTATTAATATTCTTTTTTTTGTGCAATATTATGGTAAATATGGTACAGCATGACATAGCTGAAGTGCCTCTTGTTTTAAGTTGTGATTGACTCACATTTACATGGATACTTAACATGTATTTCTGTGCTTTGTCCCCATGTATTTCAGACTGGCATCTCCCAGGCATGGTTTCACCATTATGAATAGACTTAACATGGAGAACTTGACAGAGCCGATCACCAAAGACCTGGACTTTCAGCTCCAGCACCCCTTCCTGCTTTACCGCAATGCGCGATGTAAGGAGAAAGACACTCAGATACACAGAGAAACACACTTCTTGTTCTCACCACCTGTTGAACACAGCGTGCACAGAGAGATTTGGTATAGTTTCATACCCATTAAAATGTATTTTAATGCAACATTCATTGCAATGAATCATAAATATTAGCACAAACTTCATATGTCTTAGCTTTTTTAAGATGTGGAAAAACCTTAGTTATACAGGGGTCAGTAACAATAGAGTTAGCCAAACCATCACAGATTGTACAGTCATAGATGTTAAAATCCCAGCACTAGCCACATAGACCAAATAAATAGAAAAGTCTGCCGTGTTAATCAGAATCAGCCAGACGCAATGAGAAAAAGTTATTAAAAGATAGAGACAAAGAAACAGGAAAGAAAGAAAACAAGAGCTAGAGACCACATTTAACAGTTTACCCAGAAAACAGATGGCAAAAAAGACAAATATCAAACAGAGAGAGCGCAGAGTGCTTAGCATTCTGCCCCCCTGTGTATACACAGATGTAGGTAATTGGGGATTTGGGACAACATTAAATTAGAGAAAAACAGCTTGCATTGTGCTTCTCATTGTTATATTTTGGCTCTCATTCGAAAGACTCCTGTGTCACTTTTTGTAACTCTGACACTAGATTTCTTACATGTATGTAAGCTATGCACACTGAACTGTGTATAATTCAGTCTCAGAATCCACATGAAACCATATCTTTGTGACTTTAGACCTTACAGTAATGTATTCACATCACACTTAAACATGACAAGTGTCTATCTATCTATAGCCACAGGGAGGAAGTTAAAATAAATTCTCTTTAGATAAAAGATAAACAATGTGATAAAGCGTGTAGCATTTCAGCTGTTAATTTCAGTGGGAAGCATTAGTTCCATATAAGGAGCAGAGGTATTGTGGTGACTCCAATTCTATCAGCCTGTCTCCCTCTGAGACCTACATCTGGCTTAGACACACACACACACACCCCCAAACACGTTGCAGAGTGTGCCTGTGGGAGAAGAGCCTGACAGCACTACAAAACCAGCCAGCAGAGATTAGATACACCACAACAGTCACTGATAATATAAACACACACTCACTCAGGAATCGCTGACACACACAGACCTTTGTCGTGGCCTCACACTCTCCATCAGGCTCAGTAGGAGGCAGGTGGAATGCTGTGTTTAGATACCAGTGGATTCCTTACGCCTGCTTTGATCCCTTTACTGTAGTACTTCATTATTCTTACTGACACTTAAACAACATATCCATTATTAAACATCCTGAAGGCAAAGTAAAATAATATGTATGACTTCAACTTTCCTCGGTGACCTCTTAACACCTTTTTACATTTGATCTGCGTAAGTACTGGCCTTTAGATGTGGTCCGAGCATCCGTAATGGGGACTTAATTGCAAGCGAATGGCTAACTCGCATGTCTTGGGAAGGAAAGAAAATTAAAAACAAAATTGGTAATCACAACTACGTTGATGACTATTTCCTCTCATAAAAAGGAAATATGGGCAGGGGCTATGAGAGTTTAAAAGTGAGTGGTTGCATAGCAAACCTAATAGTCAGTGGCTCCAGCCGATTACACTGATTGAAGACGGATTATAAAGTGCCCAAATAAGGATAGATGCAGTATGGTTGCAATCAAACAGATTTTTATCACCATAGCTGCTGGGATTTACTATGATTGTTGGACCGCAGATGATTTTTTTTAGCATTCATATGTAACAAGGTTGAGCCAGCGAACCCCACACATAACCAGAGAGAGAGAGAGAGAGAGAGAGAGAGAGACGCACCTTAGATGCTCTAAGAGACATAAAATCACAGAGTGTTTACCGGATGGTTCTATGTGTGGGGTAGAGCAGTCTCTTCCAGAGAAAACTATATAAACTGGATCTTTTTTTTCCCCCCTCTGGCTAACAGATCTGTAAGACTGTTTATGCCCCAGGCTGTTAGTAATGTTGCAAGTCCCACTGTCTCGTAACCTCTGTGCGCAAGGGTCGTGGAATCTTATCATTAGACAAACATGTAGCTCTCAGTGCTGCCGTTACTTCCTGGAATGGCAGTTGGCACAAAGTGGCACTCCTAAAAATATACTAGATAGATATACTACAGAACAGGGCAAGATTTAGGGAAGAGAATTTTAGTCTGAGCCAGTCTTTATTTGTTATTTGTCTGGCAAATGTTCTAGTACAGAGGGACCGATAGAAGGCTTTTTACATTCCTTCCCATAAGCACCTACAATCCCAAGTAGTGTTTCAGTGGTCCCATTATCTTCACATTGAGTTGGTTCCCTAACCTCAGCCGTTACTGTCTTCATCTTTGGCTGGTGTCTGATCCACTAGATACTTTAACTGGGAACAACTGATATGAATTTCTTATTTGTCTTTAAGAAATCACAAACATGCTTATGAAAGTACGTTACAGTATTCTCAGTTTGACTCATGTGCAGCACTTTGTTATCTATCCTCCTGTGCCATTGACCCACTCATGCAGATTTTGGACGGTACCGCATAGCAGCAGAGATAAAGTCACTGCGAAGGGTGGTTTCATTTTTCTATACTCCTGTCGACGCAGAGCCCAAATGTGTTGAATACGTTTATTTAAATTATTAAAATAATCTAATAATTAATCAAAAGGAAACTTTTGATAATCAGTTAATTGTTTAAGTCATTTTTAGGCATAAATGCCAAATATTACCTATTTCCAGCTTCTGCACAGTGAAGATTTGCTGCGTTTCTTTGTTTTTATGTGATAGCAAATACAATATGAATATCTTCCTGTTTTGGACTGTTGGTCTTTAGAAAAGTGCCATGGCCATTTATTTATTATATATATTATAGGCCAAATGATTAATCACTTAATGACAAAATTATCAGCAGGTTGATGGACTTGAGTATAAAGTCAGTCTGAATTCTAGACCTTAAAATGTTTTTAAAAAAGGGCTATGTTATTACATTTACACTAATGTGGATGTGACCTTAACTGCTGTATGCACTGTAGCCCTCTAGCCACATATACTGGATGTGGCCAACATGGCGTTCTGTATATCAGGTATACGGACAGTCTTACCTCCAGGTCGGATGTATGTATATCCCAGGTCTTTCTCTGACACCAGCAAGCCTTTAAATCTGACCTCAGGTTCCTCCTCCAGTCTCTCATGTTTAGGTTTCCTCTGAAACAGGCCTCTCAGCATGACTCCACTGGTCTCTCAGTAGTCTCTAGTAATTTCTCAGATTATACCTCAAATTTCCACTTCAGCAAAGGTTCAATGAAGGTGATGCTAAAAGATGCCGCTTCCTCCGATTCAGTTTTCCTTTTTCAGAAACGAAGGATACACTGATGCACTGGGTTGTCCCTTGAGTCAGGTCAGGTAGTGCACATACAGCTGTCACAGCAGTTGTGGCAAAAAGAGCAATTTGAATATGGCCGCAGTTAAGCCTCAGGAGGAAGTCATAAAAGTCCTCTTAGATGAGCGTCTCGGTAGCTGTAAATCTCAATATTTACTCCTCCAAGGTCATGAATTCCATTCCTACAAACAAAGGAAGTGATGGTTTTTCTCAGACAACAGTAATTCCAATCATGAATGTGTGTTACTGTAAGAGCACATACCTCTAACCTCCAGTAAACTAAATATCTAAGCTAAAAGAATATCAACACTGTTACTCATAACTGATTCACTGAGCTCTCTCAACAAAGCTGGTCACATACTGCAGTAAAAGCACACCTAATCCATCTTGGACAACACTTCTGCTTACGAATATGTCTGCATTTCTAACTATGCTAAAGCTAAACAACAAAGTATATTCTTTGAGAAGTCCCAGTAGTGCAGTTTAAGCATTTAAACCTCCTCGAAAATGCGATGTTGCTGTGCAAATCAGATATAACTAAAAATGTCTTCTTTTAAAAGCCAAGCTCCAACAGTCAATGACAGACTGAAGTGTTGCTTCCAAGATTTTAAAATGTCTTCTTATGCATCCAAGTCCCACCGAAGTCCCATCAGAGAGTTACTGTAGGTCTATAACAGACATCACATGCAGCGGTGCTTTCGCTGTTTGGCTGGTTTGTCGTAGTCACAGAGGGTTTGAAAAGGACCACACAGCGTTAGTCTTGGAACACCTACAAAATTCAGCTGATTAATTATTGCCAAAGTTTCCTATACTCCTTTTTCAGACTGTAAGGGGATGCAGTCATATTCAGAAGTTAGATTTTCTCAGTTAGTGGCCCCTCCTAATAGCGATCTCACACTTTTGGTCATCCTTCTGTTGAAGTTATCTGCCTATGTGACGGTTCAGTGGAGTTCGCTGTCCAGTTCACTTGGTTAGGATCTCTGGTTCACTTATTCAATGTAGATGTCCCTCCGCCTTTCTTCCTCTCTCTATTAGTCTCCAGTGGTGTTGACTGGAACCCTTTTCTCTCTAACGTTCACCCTGAGAGCTCAACCTTGTGGCCACAGCCACTTTTCTATTGGTGCTACTGGTTGTAGTCCTCCTCCCACTCTCCCGCTCCCTCTCTGACTCTCTTGTCTATCTTGTTGAGGTTTAAACCTTTGGCAGAGCAGGGCCAACCCTTTTCTTCTCCTGTATTGGTCTTTTGGTTTGTGTGAGGCAGGAGAGCATACCGGTCAAAGAGACTGTCTTAAGTGCCACAGGTTCTTGTCCTTTTCTGTGTCCCATCAATTCACTTCAGTTTAACATCTTACATTCACTGACAAAGTTTAGTCTCTGTTTCCTGACAGCTAAGGAGCTTGCAGAACTAGATCTTTCCCCGCTTGATGGACTTGTTGATAACCTCCTCTCTAACACACCTCACTTCTTCCTATTTTATATCCGTCTCGCTCATTTTTTTCTCAATTTTCCAGCTCTTTGACTTTGACTCTGTCTCTGTCAAACAGTCTCATCCCCAGTGAGCACTAAGTGGCTCTGGCTCCACCAGGCAGTCTCCCACTGCAGTTACTTATTTGGTACAGGGCTGATTTTCCCAGGCTCAACTGAACTCTGTGGTGTGTGTGTGTGTGTATGTGTGTATACGTATGTGTCTCTGCCTCTCCCTCTGTCCGTTCCCCCCATCCATACTGACCTTAGTGGCTTGTCCAACCTAATTTGTAGCCAAGTGTGTGTATTTCTGTGCATGTCTGGCTGTGTAGGAATGTGTGTGTGTGTGTGTGTGTGTGTGTGTGTGTGTCTTTGATAGGACTGTGGTGGTAACTAGACTCCACTTTACTTTCTGTTCTCGCTCTGTTCTGCCTGGCTTTAAATCCTTCCTCTCCGTTTCATTCATAAGTGTTTTTTTTCCTTTCTTCATGTCTTTAACACTTTGGCCCTTTTCCTTTTTGAGATTGGCCTTATCGTATCTAGATCCACTTGAGACAGTAAGTGTGTTGAGGTGTGCGATGAAGTCCTGCTGTCGTGTTTACGGCTTGGTATCAAACCTCAATACTTTTTTTGGGACTGACTGAAATGTGTTTGCAACACTGTCATGTCAACCCCCAAAACCTGGCATCAAATCCCTGCTCAGATTGATACTCCTTTTATCTGATTTAAATCATATTATATCAAGTACATTTTGTAGAAAAAAACATTAAACTTACATTGTTTTGGTGTTTAGGGTTAGGGTTAGTAAAAGAAAAGTAAAAGAAGTTCAAAGACCGTGGGATCTGTACATTTTTTTTAGACCTTCACTGTTTTTATTAACCGGTACTAAATTTTGTTGCTGGGCAAAATCATGACTCTCTCCTCATTGACTGGATTTGAATACGTATGCAACAATGCCATCTCTTTTAATATGCTTTTAGGAGTCACTGCAAATGAAAATGGCAAAATGAGTCACTGTCATTATGTAATGCAATCTACTTAGTTACTGCAGTGTAATCTTCTGACAAATGGGTATTACTGTTGCCTTTTTCCTCCCTTGTTGACCATGTTTATGTAATTCAGGAGACTCCTGGGCCCCATAATGGCACTGCTGGCTTCTGTTCCCATTGGGAAATGACTCATTTTAAACCCTGGGTTTAGACCCAGCAGGGCTAATAATAAACGGTTTACATGTCTGTCAGGCCTGCACTGATGTCATAGCAGCAGAGCTGTACAGCAGCATGTCTGTGCCTTTATTTGATTGTAAGGCTATGGCAGGTCAGAAAACTAATTTTGTTGTCTGCTGACCTTACTGGCTGGTGCACCTCAAAATGCAACAGGCAGTTTCATTATTTTACAGGCTAAGTTGATTTTTAGCTTCGACTGAGGCATTACTCCAGACCAGAGTTACATTTCTGTTTATGAAACATGTTCAAAAGTTCCCTTCTCTTTCTCTGTTTTCCCCCTTTATGTCCCCCTTATCCTCACTGCCCCAGTGGTTATCCATGGGATTTGGTTCTACGATAAGGAGGACTGTCAACGCATTGCCCAGAGGATGAAAATGTAAGTCCTTATGTAACCACAAACTCTATACATCACTTAAAGAAAACAAATTCAAAATGAGATTTGGTTTGCCAAACAGGGACTAGTGAATTACGGCCACCGTGGCTGTGAGAGTTTGTTTCTTATTTGTCTGCACATGACAGAGACTACATGTTTATAAGTGGATCTGTGTCTGTGGGGCTTAAAACCAACAAATGACTAATATGGTGTGTTTGTTTGAATGAGCTTGGCTCCCAAGGTGAGCGAATGTGTTTCTTTTACTTGGACTAACATATATTACAAGTGAAGTAAAGTGGCAGTCTTATCCTGACCAAAGTCCCTTTGCTGCTTGCCTTGTATTAAGCTGTATGTATTCTCTCTCATGGACTCATGTATGTGTGTAGCCTGACCCAGCAGGAGCAGGCCCTGGCTCAGTCTCAGGGTGGATGGTTGTCCCCAGGAGGGGGAGGTGTAGTCGGAGGAGTAGTCGGAGGAGGACGAGGAGTAATCAGAGGAGGAGGAAGAGGAGGAGGAGGAGGAGGAGTTGTTGGAAGAGGAAGAAGAGGAGAAAGTGATGCAAAGGCAGTGGACATCATCCAGATGTTGACCAAAGCACGCACAGAGTATGACAAGGTAGGGGAACCGAAGACTGTAACAAATAGAACCTTACAGATTGATATTTTGGATGATTACCTTCTGGAAAACTGTGACACACATTTTGTTTGATCGTTTGTATTTCCTCTCTCATTTTCCTTCCTCTCTTTTTATATCCCTCTTTCCATATGTCTCTCTCAGGGACAGTCTACATCAGAGCCAAAGGAGATTGGTGGCAGCAGTGTTCTTTGTGGAAACCCCAACCTGATCAAACCAATACCCGTTAAACCAAACGCACAGGTAAAACACCCACATCCTACTTCCTCTTTCGCTCTAGGGTTGTATTCAGTACATCGTCCTTCCTTGACGATCAGCCCCTGACAAACAGGCGGAGAACATATCTGGTCCACAGCAAGCGAACAAAGGCAAGGGATCAGCTAAAGTTTAAATAAATGGTACTCACAACCAGTAACCAGGAGCTGTTGCCATTACAAACAGTATTTGGCCCATTTTAATCATTCAGACCTTTGCAGTTCGCCACTTCAGAAATAACTGCATCATAGTTGTGTCTTCTCATGCTTACTGCCCCCCTTGCCTCTCTTAAACTCTCTGTTTGCACTTTTCAGGACAGTGAAGGTGGTGAACCTAGGCCTCTCTCTCTTGCCACTCTTTTTGGCTCCCAACATCAACACTCATCCAAACCTGACCCAATCTCTCCTTTGGGGTCGTCGTCATCGGGAAAAGTCACTCGTCCGCCCGTAGCCCGAACGCTGACATATGAGGATACGGTGAACTCTAGAAGTTTGACCTCCAAGGGAGGGAACGTCGCCATGGCTGACTGTTCAGATAGAGGGCTCAGGGCTGTGATTGGAGGACAAACTATCAGGGAAGATGGTGCTGTTGTGGCCTTACTGCCGAGTCCCACTAGCACCTATCATCAGCAGCAGCAGCAGCAGCCTCAGCACTGTGCAGCCATCCAGAAGCTCATGCAGGGACAGAGAGGGGTTTCTGGAGGAGGGGTGCTTCAGACCTTGTCCGAGTCCCCTGAGAACAGGCTGTGTGACAATGGGGTGCCACTGGAGCATCACCACCATCACCATCTGTTCCATCATCATCAGCAGCACCACCACCATCATCATCATCAACAGCAACAGCTTCAACCTGACCCAATCAAGAGACTTTTCCAAACCCAGCCACCTCCTCCCTCTTTCACCTCTGCTCCTTCACTGTGTTGCCCCAACCCTCCTCCTCTGCAGCAGATCACCCATCTCCCCTCCCAACCCATAATGGTGGATTCTGTGTCATGTGCCCACCTCCAAGCGCAACAAAGCCAGCAGCTGTTTTTCAGCCTATCTAAATCTCAACCAGAGGCACAGCAGAACAGCCAGTCAGCTTCAGGTATATCTTATGCTATCAATGTGCCAGCAGTATGACTCTGTGCTGAATAAGTTATAAGTGTATAAGTTACACTATATACACTTTTCTGGCAAATATAAGAGTGGATGTAGATAGTAGAATGTATTGAATAATAATTATTGGCTAATAAATAGATAAATGGTACAAAAAAACTTCCACATATAATTTTCAGTCATATTTTTGCTGCTTTAACAGGTTTGCTGCCATCTCAGGTGACCAATGACCAAGTCTTTCAATTTCCACAAGGTATGACATCACTTTTCTTAAAATAAGACTGCCCTCACGTCACTTTGCAGTTTTTGTGTCACACAAACTTAAGTCAACCATTACACAGATTCCTACCTACTTTTTAAAAGCATTTTTTGTCAAAGTGCACATAAATCTGTGCCATGTGTACAGAATTAATTAAATTTTAACCACAGTAGGCACTCACATTGATGTAAACTGGCAGGTTTTCAGAACTTTGCAGACCGGCACATTGTAGTAGTTGCAAGTTTTAGCTCATATAGTTGCAAATCTTTGTTCTGAACTGGGCTTAACAGACTATACTGTGTGTTTGTTTGTGCCGGGTCTTGGAATCCGTTCCATAATGATGTCTGCTTCCCAGTGTTATCTAATTGAATCTATTGACTATTTCTGTAAGACATGCCTGATTGAATATCTCTCATCTGAGAAAACTTTGTCAGTTAACTATTCATTTAATATTCTCACAGGTATTTGACTATGTATGCATCTATCTATATCCATTTCTCTATTTAAATTCTAAAATGTCTCTGCCAAGATGCCTGTATTATCTGTGTAAGATATTATGGAAATATTTCTAATCACTGGGGCCCTTACGCTCTCTTGTCAGGTCTGTCTTCCCAGATGCCTGGTGTGGTGTCGCCTCATGAGCTCCTGCAAAAGCTCCAACTGGTCCAGCAAGAGCAAAACCTGGCTTCCCATGATTCACCTCGACTCTGTCCAGGACTGGCTCCTCGATTTCTGGGGCCCACTCAAGGTGCATGCTCAGTCCCAAACCAAACCACAGCCACTGCAGGACAAAAGGCTGCGCTGCAGTTTCAGGTAAACACTGTGAACTTTGTTTTTACTGACTGGAAACAGCTATTAAGGAAACTAATAACTGTCCCTGTCTGTCCAGGTCATCTCCCCCCAGCGAATACCAGCCACTGTGGCCCCCAACCTGCTCCTCTCTCCCAGTGTGTTCACTCAGGCAAAGATTATTGGCGGGCTGTCAGTTGCCCAGGGGAGTGGCTCTGCCCCCTCAACCCTGTCCAGACCCCTGCTGCAGGAGGAGATCAGAATCCTGTCCAGAAGCCAGCTACAAGCCACACTGCTGCATCTGATCCAGGTAAGTATCTGACCGACACATTACATGCCCAGGGCCTCACATCATATTACATTGTTAATTGGTTGTGTTTATGTTTTATTCTAAGCTGTGTACTTTATGCACACACACATACATACATATATACAGTGTGGTGATCGTTGCTTGTGTATTTCAGACTGACAGCTCATTCCTGGACAACATCTATGAAGCCTACGTCAGCCGCGTTGCTAACGACTCCAGCAGCAAGTACTGATGACTCCTCACACCCTCTGTCTATACATACATCATTCTTACACTTAATATGGATGTACCACTTCCTCCTCCGAAATCCCCACTGCAATCACTCTCACTATGCACTGTACAGCAAGTCAGCCCAGCTCTATTCAATCCAAACCAAGTTTCTCTGGTTGCAACAAAAAGAGCAGTTATCAAAAATTATAAAGGTTTGTTTCCGTATCAGAAACGCACAACATCCCCCCCCCCCCC